CCCCAAAACCCCAAAACCCCAAAACCCCAAAACCCCTATCACTCCAATCCCTTTTGAAAGCCTAAAATTTAAATAACCCACTCCAACATGGGCAGCCTCTTAACAAACTGTGACTTCCAAATGCCCCAAACCAGCTACAGAAACCCAGCCTCGGTCAAGCTCCTCACTGAACACTACATCAAGAGAAGGTGAGACTTCGAGAGTTCAGCCCCAACAGATTTCAAAATTAAGAAATCACCAAGATTCTTTAAGGGAAATTTGGCGATGGGGCTAAGGAAAGAGCATAAGCAAGTAGATGAGCGGAATGAGAAGATGTAAGTGAAGAGATTAAGGGCTTAGAGAAGAGGATTTGAGAAGGGATTTCAAAGGGTTTTAGGGACTAGAGTATATAATGACTAGGTTTAGGGGGAGTAAAGATATCAAAAAGTTATCGATCTTTGATGGGATTATGGAATGTGAGGAATGTATGGAGGAAGATGAGCAAATTGGAATTAATATTTCTGTATCTTTGGATGGAAATCAGGCAAGTTTTGAATCATCAGACATTGATTTGGATGAAAAATCCTCAGATGGCCAGGAGCAAGGTAATAAATGTACTCCTGATAATACTGTGAAGGTCTGACCTATTACACTTATCAAAGAGTATTGTTGTGAGTATGAAGACATAGTGCTTTATTCAGAAGGTAAGTTAATTTCTTCATTTTTAAATCACCTTACTTAATGACCTAATTGTCTAAATTTTGATATAGATTGTAATGAAGAACTGGGATATCACCACTATGTGTTGAATGCTGATCCTAAAGCTCTTAACATCAAAGTTATTCAGAAATAACAGTCCTTTTCTTGCCAAATAGGCCGAGGATACATTTAATTTATCCTAGTAGCTTCCAATTTAAACGAGTTGTTTCTTAACTTTATCTGTATTATTAAAGTTGTAGACATTTTAAAAATGATTAGAATAGTTTAGCTTGATTATTCTGGCAGTTAAGAAATTCATATCCTTGGCATCTTGTCATTTTGTTGTACGTGTCTTTGAACAATTTCAGTTAAAACATGATTTATTAAGTCATGTACCAAGCAATTAAGTTATGATAAAGGAGTTTGATTCACTATAATCTCTTTCAATTATTGTCTTTGATTGAGGGGTTTTGGGGTTTTGGGGTTTTGGGGTTTTGGGGTTTTGGGG